TGTTTTCCTTGAGTTTATTGGGAAGTCGGCTGTTGTCCCAACACAAACTGCACGATGGACAGCAGGTGGCGCTGCCGCCTCATGGAGAAGCCACCGGGAAAGCGCTTTCTGGGGTGGGGCAAAGGCGCAGGGCTGCCTCTCTCCCAGGGACAGTCCCCTCTCCCCAGGGAAGGCACTCTGGTGAATACCCCTGGAGAGTTAACTGGTACCCACTGCCCACGCCTGCTGCCGCCTCACCAGGCCTCTGACCGTTTGGACAGAGACCACGCAGCGTTCGCTGCCTGTGTCACACAAGCTGTGACCAGGCCAAGGTGTTGCAGGACCCAGAAACGTGTGCTGATCTGTGGCTGGCTCTAGGGGCATTTCCAAATACAGAAACAGTTTACCTTTTTTCAGGGGACGTCTGAGGACCTGGCACGATTCCCTGTGGCCGTAAGCCCTAAGCACAGTGGGACGCATGGCCTGTGCTTTCTCCACGGTGTGGGAGTTTAATAAGATGCTTGGAGAGGCTTGTCACCATTGCTTCTTCCCAGACCTCTATTCCGAAGCCATGGGATATGACCTGCACCTTTTCTGCGAGCAGCAGAAGTGGTCTTGTGGACCACATTTCAGTTGGCACTTTCGCTAGGCCTGGTAGCTGGAGGAAAGTGGGTGACCAGGATCCGCGGAGCACAGTGCGTTAGGGACAGGGCTTTGGGTCTGATTCCAATTTCCAACTCTTACTAGCAGCGCCTGGAGCAAGCCCACTGACCTGTCCATGCCCGGTTCCTGCCTCTGGAAGGCGGGAGTAGTCCTAGGACCTCCCTAAGGGAATCCCAAGAAGGGCAGAAGGGTGTGTGGGAAGAGGGCTTGCCGTGGCCAGCGCGCAGCCTGCCTGGTGAGCATGAACGTCCGCTGTGTGTCTGGACTTGGAGCTGCCGTGGCAGCTGGGCGGGAGGGGGCAGCAGAGGCCGCGCTGAGCTTCCTTCACCAGGGCTCTTCTCAGGAGTCCAGAGAACACTGGGGGAGAGACTGCAAACTCAAGCTGTCACCAGGACCCCTGGGAATCTGTGAATACTGGAGTCCTGGGTCCCACCTCCAGAGAGTCGAGTCAGGTAGCTCTCAGCGCCACGCTCCCTGGTCTGCAGTTTGAGTGGACGCCCCGTGTTTCTGATGAGGGCAGTTCCACACTGAGAACCACCATCAGAGATGAAGTCGTTGGGCTCAGGGGTCTTCTGGCTTGGAGGTTGAGAGGTCCTCCCTGGGAAGGGGGCAGGGTCTCTCCAGGTGCAGGACGCTAGAAGGTGGGGAGCTCCGTGGCTCCCAGACTGAGTGCTCATCGGAAAGGCTCGAGTCTAGGCTCTAGTGAAGTGCAGAATCTTGCCGTGTGTGTGGCACACACCCTCCCCAACACGCACCCTCGACAGATCTCTAGGGAAGCAGGGCGAGACATGCCGGTCTTGTGGCCATTCCTGTCTGGGACCACAGAGCTCCTAAGGACATTTGCCACTGCCCTTCATAGGTCGTAAGGTCAGCATTGCTAGAGATAACCTGAGGTTCAGAGGTGATAGGGCTTGCCCAGGTTCAGTGGTGGCAGAGCAGGGACTGTGTAGCTTTGTCTCTCTACTATCTCTGGAGTAGCTGCCAGCTAGTGGGTGCTTGGAAGGCAGGGAGCCAGGCCTTTATGCACCCCTCCTCCCTTCCTTGTCCCTCGCTCTCCAGCTGCAAAGGGAGAAGCAAACTGGGATAGGTGGGCTTTGATGGCACAGAGGGGCCAGGCACCTTCCCATCAGAGGCACATATCCTGAGTGCCTTCTAGCCAGATGTGGACCAGAGGTGGGCATGAGGGAGGGAGGGAGCTCCATGGGGTGAGGACTGGCTGGGCCTGCAGTTCCTTCCCGCCTGGGACTGGGCACCGAGGAGGATGCCAAGGCAATTCTGCTGCTGGGTCTGCGATGGGCCACCTGCTGAGGCTTGGGTACACCCAGGACGTCAGCCCCTCTCCCCACACAGAACCCTGGATTCCCGGGATGTGTAATCCACAATTAGAAATCTGATGGCATTACCCTTGCTACTTCCCACCTCCAGGCATTTTATTGGGGGGGGGGTGGAATTCATACACTTAGGGCAGCTTGACTGCATTGTTCCAAGACAGCCCCTCACTGAGGTATGCTCAGGTTGTATGAATTAGTTCTACCTAGGATGTCCCTACGGTAGAATGATACAAATGCACAAAGCACACATGGTTTTGTGAGTCAGAAATGCCTTTACATTTCTAAGATTGCTGCTTGTACGTGCACAGCACATTCTTGTGCAGGCGGTCGGAGCTTTGCCCCTGGCCCCTGTGCAAATCAGGGGAAACAGGCCCTGCCTGGGGAAGACGCCACCCAAGCAAGCAGTTCCATGAGGCACCAGCGGCAGCAGCAGCGGCAGCAGTGTCCTGGCTGCGGAGACCCTTTTGCCTCCTTTCCGAGCCAAGCTTTCCTGGGGGTGGGTGGGGGCGGCTTTTCTCTCATCCCCAGGCGCAGGGTCAGACTGGGAGATGGAGGCCAGGCCCAGCCTGTGGGTCCCCGGCCGGTTTTCCTGCACCAGCCCCTCTGCGTGCCGCCTCCGCAGCCTGGCCAGGGTGTGGGAGCGGTGGGAGAGCCCGCAGAGACGCAGGTGCCCCCGGGGCGTGGAGCGGGAAGCCGGGGCTCAACTCTGCTCCAGGCTCTGGTCCGGAGCTCAGTAGATCGCTGGCGGTCCTGTGGGGGCAAAAGAGTGGGCGCAGAGGCTGGAGACGTTGCTGGAGACTGGGGAGCTTGCCGGCTGGACAGGCATTGGGTTTCTCCTAATCAACCCCGCTTCCCAGAACCTAGGTCCTAATTGGGGCTCAGTCTCCGTGGCGCGGGAGGGAGGACAAGACCCACTCTGGCCTGCGGTTTCTGCACTGGAGGCCCGCGGGATTTTCTCCGGCCTTGTTTTCCTGGGCTCCGATCTGATGGGCTGCTGTGGTGGCGTCCACCCCAGAAGGGACAGTGCCGTCTCTGCTCGCCGCAGACATGCTCCCGGAGCGCAGGACTAGGTGCGTGTGGGCGACAGCCTGCTGAGCAGGGAGACCCCAGCCCCATCGCTTCGGCCCACCAGAGACCCCAGGGATGGAGTCACCAGCCTTTTCCTGTACTCTTTATCTCGGTTTTATAGACAGCGGTTAGTTTGGGACATTAATTGCCTAGGCGAGTTTGATAATTTTGATGTAACAGAGCCCTGGAGAAATTACCCTCATGTCCAAAATGTCAAATTTGAGAAGAACCAGGTTCAGAGGCTCGCAACCCCACGACGCGGAGAAACTGCGGTGGGTCCTGAATGGCCGCACGGACAATGTGATTTTACTGTTTGTTTTCTTAGGTAGGCGGAATCGGTAGGGAAGGAGGGTGGTCCGTTAGAGACACAGGTTTTAAACCGTGTTTTCCCCCCACAGTGACTTTGGAGGAAATGTTACTGAATGGAAATGTTTTTGTCACCTTGCTCTTGGTCTTTTTCTTGCTTATATTTTACTCACTTGTGAGTTGAGGAAAAACAAGTATAGAGAACCAAAAACAAACAAACAAAAAAAACCCCACAAAAAACCCTCAAAAAACAAAAACAAAACTCTACAAAAAAAATAAAGTTGTTTCATAATTTATAACAGCTAGAAAATGGTAACAGTAAAGCCTGAAACTCCAAGTAAAACTCTCAATGGTGGCAAAAAAAAAAAAAAAAAAACTTAAAAAAAATCATATATATACTTATATCTATATGGCTTTCCCTGGGGAAAGGAGGGGCACAGTTTTTCTTTCAACATCTGATTATGTATTTCAAACAAGAAATGACATTTAGAGGGGCAGAGGGCTCTTCTTAAAAAACAGAAGCCAAGAAAAATAGTTACTCACGTCCAGATCTCACGTCAGTAAGAAGCGAAGCATGGAAAAAGGAGGATTAGCGAAAGAAGAAAAAAAGGGGGAGGAGAGAGAGAGAGAAGAAAAGAAAAAGAAGGATTCAGAAACGTCCACATTTTACATAAAAAAAGGCTAGCCATGCCAAGCCGATCTCTGTGTGTACTGGGGTTGAGAAGATACTCCGCAATCCCAATCCCAATAAAATACTCATTGATTTTATTTCTATCTGATACAATGTTAAAGGCCATGTACAAATGTTATACATTTTTATTTTTGTTCTTTTTTTAGGAAAAAATACACAAAAGGCAAAACATCCTCGAATTGTCATTTTATACAGTGCAGAAGGAAATTTAAAATACGTGTCACAAACGCTGCACCCCAGCAGCCAAATACTAAAAAAAGGGGTAGTCCTTCATTTTATATATATATTTATATAAACATATGGAAATTTGTTTTTACACAGATTGGACTTTGTTTCAAATTTACAATGGATCTCTAAAAAAAAATTTTTTTCTACGCGGCAAATATTGCCAACAAAGTTACACCATTAATACTGATAAACGGAGGAGCCGATGCGGTGTTTCGATTATTAGGGAACAAAGTAGAATAAATAACAGGATGAGCCTTGCTATAGTTTAAAAAAGTGCCTTAACCTTTCTGCGTCGCCTTCGCCGCAATCCTGAATTCGTGCGCTCACCGGCCTTCCCTGTCCCCGCGCCGTGCTGTGCTCCCCTTGCTCTCACGCCAGCACGTTTTTACAGTAGAGATCGGGAGACAGTTGGGTCTTGTGAGACGAACACCCGCCAAAAAAGTCAAAATGCAATCGGAAACAAAACCAAAAGGACTGTAGAGAAGGCCGAGGAGGACTGAGGGGAGGGCAGAGGCCCGGGGGGCCCCTGCTTCTGGGCTCCTCCTGGTTTCCTTTTGTAAGACGAACAGTGGCTTCGGAAATGCAAGTCCGCACAAAGATCCACCTGTGGTTGCTGGAGGGCTTCAGAGATGGGGAGGGAGATGGGATTTCTTGCCCCCCTTCCCTGCAAAACCCGGCTCTAAGAGGAGACTTGCGCATTCCAAGACATTCTTTCAAAAAAAAAAATTAAAAATAAAAAGATAAATACTCAACCAAAAAATAAAGTATTTGATAATGATGGTCTCACATGTTTGCCTTTCTTCTGAAAACCTTCCCCCACTTCTGCCATTGGAGGGAAGGCGGGGAGAGGCCTCAGCAGAATTCTCATTTAGATGTTGAGGGTCCCCCCAACACAGCACCTTCTCAGCCGCCTTCAACTGGATCAAAAACAGATACTTATTTACCAACAGCTGCGGTCAGACAGACCCCACAGCCACCATGTGTTAATCTTTTGAAGAAGTTGGGGAGGAGGTGCTGACCGCCATGCTGCGTCTTTGCCTTGGGGATTTCTTTCCAAATAATCCAGGTGGGTAGGGGTCAAACCCTCGTCTTCTGCCTATGGTTATACCTCAAGAATAAAGCAGTTTCTTGCAATGCGTTCCAGGTCCCTGCGCCAGGCCGCCCGGGCCCGGTGGGGCCTGCTAGCTGTGGTCTCACATCACACAGGGCTTGATGTCTTGGTAGGTGACCTGCTGGTGGTAGTAGGAGCCACTGCCGGCCGAGTGCATGGACGAGGATGCCATGGTGTTGAAGGAGAAGACGAACTCCTTGCGGTCACACATGCCGGGGGACTGGGAGTGATACCTCGGGATGCCTGTGAAGGAGGCAAGAGGAGGGCAGGGAGCAGAGTTAGGGTCAGGGACGCAGAGCTCCAGGCGGAGAAGCAGCGCCACCCGGCTCCAGCGCAGGGCTCTGTTGCCTCCCTACGCCCCACCGAGGTGGGGCCAGACTCCCAGAGTTCCAGCCTCGGGCGGGTCCAGGCAGCCCCAGATTCCAGGCCCTGGGCTCTGTGCTCCAGCAGAAGATCCCAGGACCCCAGTAATGACCGCTACTCCCTGGGTGCCCACTGTGGGAGCCTCTATCGCCTCAGACATCAGAGCTCCAGGCTGGGGCTTCCTGAGGCTGAAGGGGAAGGGATGAGGAGGCTCTCCGGGCCAGCAGATCTCAAGGAGAGTCCGGCCTCCGCTTCCATGGCCAGCCCAAGGCCTGTGCCGGGCCCTGGGGTACCCACCCCCCAACCTCAAAGCCTGCAGAGGCCCTGGTGCCGCTGGAGCCTTCCCCAGGGGAAGGACCCTCCGAGAAGAGCTCCCTCCCCCCAGCGGGTGGAGAGGCTGCTGGAGCCTGGGAGTCTGAAGCAGCCCCAGCCAGGAGATCCCTGCAGAGAGGCGGCCCTCAGGCCCTCCAGCCACCAGACCCGCTCCTGCCTCCCGGGGGCAGCTGACAGCTGAGCCCTGACAGGCCCTGCTGAGCTCCTCAGCGCCCTTTTCAGAACTAGGCCCGGAGAGGCTGGCGGGTGCAGAGAGGAGAGCCCCGAAGGGAACACTCTTCTGCATCTCCTCCTCGGAGGGGTGGGGAGGAGTGTACCTGTGACACTGAAAGCCTGGATCCTCAGAAACAAAGAGTCTGTGGGGCCTGTGCCTCTAACTCTTGCTCTGGGCCTGGCCGCAGCTCCTCTCTGCCTCTATCACTACAAAACGTCCCCCGGCTCAGCCGTCCCGTGGCCGGTTCCCTGGGAGGCTGGGCTGCTGGGCTGCTGAGCACCCAGCCCAGGCAGCTTCAGGCCTAACTCTTCCCTTCTGTCCACGCAGCTTTCCGGTGGCGACTCCAGGGGAGGCCCAGCCAGCTGGCCGAGACTGGGCTTGGGCTCCATCCTGGGAACTTGATGAGGCGTGAGGGGGGTAAGGGCTTCAAGAGATGTAGAATATCGGGGTCTGAGTCTTTTTGTTAGAAAGGGGTCGCTTGGCCAGGCTCGGGACTACCAGCGGCTAGGAGATGGAGCCGAAAAGGAGAACAATTATCTTGACCTAAAGTGCCACCCTTCAAAGGGCGGCGTGCGGGACAGAGATACTCTGGAGAGCTGGTGCCTCCCCGAAGTAGGGGGGTGGCACCCCACAGAAGTGGCATGGAGCCCTCGCCCAGGGCGGTCTGCAGTTTGGGGGCTGGGTTCCGCGCACTGACAGATGTCGGACCAGGACTAGGACAGCCCTGGTCTCCCCACTCACCTTGCAACTCAGCTGGGGCGTTGTGACTGTTCTGGTGTAGATATGGCTGGTCCAGGGAGTGCGTGGAGAGGCTGCCAGACAGGGGGTTGGCCGCGGGGTTGCAGGGGGACAGGGGCTGCTGCTTGATGTAGGAGGCGCCGCTGTTGAGGGCTGCAGAGGCCGAGGGCGGCCAGGCGGCCGCGGAGCCCGAGTAGACTGCGTGCGGCTCCATGACCCCGCTGGCGGTCGCAGGCAGCAGCGGGGAGGCAGGCACCGAGCTGTCGTGGTGCGGGTACTCACCCGCCGCTGTGCCGCCACAGCTGCCCATGTACGAGTGCCCACCGTTTGCGGGCAGGTGTGGCACCGAGTGGCTGGGCAAAGCCATGCCGTCCATGTTGCCCGGCAAGTGGCCGTTCATCATGCCCAGGCCACCTTCCAGCGCCAGACTGTTGGGCGGGCACGAGAGGCCGCCGGCAGAGCTCTGGAAGCCGTAGGTGTCCGGGAGGTGGTTGAAGCCGAGCCCGTTCATCATGCTGTACATGGGCTTGAGCGCCTGGCATTTCCTTCGGAAGCCGCGCGGCCGCCGACGAAAGGAACCCTCCTCGAACATGAACTCGCTGGCCGGGTCGATGGTCCAGTAGTGGCCTTTACCAGGCCGCCCAAGGCCCTTGGGCAGCTTGATGAAGCACTCGTTGAGAGAGAGGTTGTGGCGCACGGAGTTCTTCCAGCCCTGGTAGGAGCCGCGGAAGAAGGGGAAACGGCTCTGCAGGAACTGGTAGATCTCGCTGAGCGTCAGGCGCTTGGTGGGCGAGCTCTGGATGGCCATGACGATGAGCGCGATGTACGAGTAGGGCGGCTTCTCCGGGCGCCGGATGCCGGCGTTGGTCTTCTTGGCCTTGGACGGGCCGGACGACGCGGGGTCCATGGCCGCGCCGCCTCCCCCGCCGCCGCCGACGCCGCCGCCGTGCGGTGGCTGCTGCTTCTCGGGCGCCGAAGACATCGGGTGGCTGCTGCCGCCGCCGCCGCTGCCGCCGCTGCTCTGCGCCGCCGACGAGCCGGGAGGAGGAGGAGGAGGAGGAGGAGGAAGAGGAGGGGGGGGAGGAGGGCGAGGGGGAGGGGGCTGCGCGCGCGGGGCTGGCTGCACCTCTGCCGTCATCCGCGGCCACTTCTCCGGAGCGGGCCTCGGCGCGCCCTCCCCCGCCCGCCCGTCCTCCCCGAGGAGCTGCTGGATCCGCCGGCGGTTGGCGCGGAGCCCCCCTCTCCCCAGCTCCCTCCTCCCCCTCCTCTCTCTCCTCCCTCTTTCCCTCTCGCCCTCCCACTAGGGAAGGAGCCCAACGGAGGCTGAGGGGCAGCCTCTTTGCAGCCCCGGCAGTGGCCGCGAGGAAGGCCCCCCACCTCCGTCGCCGGTTTTTTGGGGAAGGCACCACCTCCGGGGCCTGCGGCCGTGCGCCCCCGCGGGGAACAGCACTTGGCCCTTGCCACCCGTGGCGCTCGGCTCCACGACTCCAGCCAGGCCGCCCTCACTGCATCTTCTCTCTGCGGCGTCTCGAGGGCCGGCCTAAGACCCTCCAGGAGTTCCCTCCCCCCCCGCCCCCCTCCGGCCCCGCGTCGGTGGGCGCTTAAAGGGCCCCCACCCTCGGTGCCCCGCGGCCGCCGGCAAAACCGCCCCGCCTCCACCAACCTGGCGAGCAAGTGTTAATGCGCCCTCCGCCCTCGGCTCAGCCCGGTTCTGCGCAGCCCCCCACCCCCACCCCGCCTTCCTCGCTCGGAGGCGCGGACACCCCGGGCCTCTCCGGACGCGCACAGCCGGGTGGCAGATCGCAACTGCAGCGGCGGCAGCGGGTACCGGGCCGTGGCCACCGCGGGCACAGCCGGCTCGGCCACGGGTCCCCGCGGCCAGCGGGCGTAAGTTCCCGTGAGGGACCGCCTACCCACTCTCCCCGCCCCGGGAAGGACTGCGCTGCGCCTGGGACTTTTTGGACTCGCCCAGAAGCGCGCGAGCAGGCGGGCAGCCGCGGGAGCCGAGCACGGGCGGAAAACGAAAGCTCAGGGCGGGTCGCTGCCGCTTTGTCTCGGGCTCCGCGGGCCGGGCGGGAGCAAGTGAGAACCGCCGGCCCTGTGGGGGCCGAAACCACACGGGCTTCCCGGAACAAGCGGCCCCGCTCATTTGCTCATTCATGCACACACACGCATGCATTGGTGCACGTGCAAATCCGGCAAATTATGAAGAGTCAGAAGTGAAAACTCACACTCATGTGTGCCTTCCCACTCACGCACACACCTCGCTCAGGCACGTGCGCCCCAAGTAATGCGCTCGCTCACCCGCACAGAGTAAGACCACAGGAGCTTACATTCTCACCTATTCTCATTCACGTGGCCACTAGCCACGTTCGGATCTGAACCACATTTGTACCCACCCCCCCCAACACACGCACACAATGAAAATCCGCCCATTTGGCCCCGCAGCTCCGGTGTCCCCACTTTCCAAGAACAGGTTCCGATTTCTCATAGATGGTAAAGGCCCTGGCAGGAAGTTTATACGGCTCAACGTAAACACGTTCTGGGGATTCTTTAATAATAATAATAGAGAATTCCGCGTGCGCGGGGGGGGAGTTGGCCTAATGCCCCTGTGGGTTCGGCCTGCCGCCGCCGCGGGGCCTCTGACACTGCGCGCCAGGCCAGGTTCCGGAAAGCAGTCTGCGCGGGCGGGGAGCACAGGCCCGGGCGGCCCTCTCGCGCCGGGCTGTCCGCAGCAGGGGGCTCGCACGCACGCCTTCCCTGGCAGTGCTGGGGTGCGGGCTAGGGCTGGGTGGGAGGACAGTGGCGCCGAGCGCGGAACCGCGCAGGAGCTGGGCGCAGCACGGCAAGCGGGGACCCAGGTGAGTGCTGTTCGCGCGCTGACTGCAGGACACCGAGCCCAGCCTCTGTGGCCCTGGCCCTGGGTCGGGCGGAGGGAGGAGAGGGCAGTTTTCAAGGGTCGTCGCGAGGAGCCTAGATGCCTTGCCCTGGCAGGAGCCTGGACGAAACACAGATGCCGGGAGTGCCGGGAGGCTCGGAGTGCGCCTGCCCCGCGGCGCTTTTCAAAGCCCACTGTCCTCTCGGGTTTCTCTGGCTTCCTTGTCCCCCGCTGTCCCCCCTCCTTGCTCAGACGCCTTCAGCCTCGGCGGTAGACGCCTCGTCGCCTTCGGGGCGCCTGGCACGTCTGTGCGAGGAGCTGGGGGTCTCAAGGCGAAACGCGCCCAGCAGTCGCTAGCTTTCCAGGCCGAGCGGCGCTCGCGGAAGCCGATTGAGTCTACTTCTCCGCGCTCCGCTTCCGCCGGGCTCCCCGGCCTAGGGGAAGGGTGTGTGGGATGTGACCAAGTTTGTGTGTGGCTGTATCTTCGCGCAGGAGGACGCGCACCCGCGGATCCACCCCCATTTCACAGGGCCCAGCCGGCATCCACGGACCTCAGAGACCCTGAGCCCGCGCGCCCCCGCCAGTGCGCCTTAGTGAATACCCCTCACACAGCTTAGGCGCCCCGACCCTCGCTCGAAAGCACAGGCCTGCCCGCCGCAGAGGACACGCTTTCCGTCTAGTGCACACACTCCACACTCCTGCACTGCGCGTTCGCCCACGCACAGCCGCTCTATTCGCGGGTACACATGTCCACGCTCGCAGGCGTTCTTACATTCTCTTTCCATCATTTTTTTTTTTTTTTTTTTTTTTTTTTTTTGGCTAAACGGCAGCTGCAGGCTAGGAGGCCCTGGCGGTGCTGGGAGGGAAGTTCCCGAGAAGGGGTCGCTACCGCCAGCTGCTGGGAGCACATCTGGCGTTTAGTAGAGAGGCCTGAGGGAGAGGCTGCCCCATTCCCCAGCCTGCTAAGGGTGCAGCAGTACCCTGCGGCTCTCAGGCTCTCAGAAATCGGAAGCAATGCCTCCGTTTCTCTGACAGGCTGCCTTCAAAGTGAGGGGGCTCTACAGGACTTGAAATTGGGGGAGATTTTTTCCCAGTAGCCTCTTCCCTCCTGGGTCCTCTCCAGTTGGGAGGCGCCTCAGATGCCATCTTTGACTAAACCCCAGATCATTTCCTCCCTCCAGCACATGGGGGTCTTTCACTGGCTCCCCTGGTGGCTCCTGTGTGTTTTGGGATGGGGGAGCTCCTGCCTTCCTAGGGAGGAAGTGTGGACTTGGGGCCCCGCCTGACCTCCACTTGCCCCTCGGGCTCTGACAGCAAACCAGACTTTGCAGGGAAGGGGCAGCAGTTACCTTGTCCAAGGACAGAGGCTGAGTGGCTGGGATCCTCAGCAACGCAGCAGATGGAGGCTCTTTCCAACCCTGATCTCCACCCAGGAGGGAGGTAAACGTGGGAATGTGAGGAGGAGGGGAGGGGAAATGAGCTCCCAGCTCTGTAATTTGTAGGGGACCCCCCTCCAATTCTAGGAAAAACCACATCCATAGCAAGGAGGGCTTTTCTGTGTGCTCAGAGAGGAGGCTCTCAGCTCTCAAGTTGGCCAGAGAAGTCTCACTTGATCTTGCATTTTGAAGTGGGGAAACTGAGGCCCACCAGGGACCTAGCCTGGGTCAGCCAGTGCTGCCAAGAGAAGACCTCTCCATCTTTTCTCTCTATCCCCAACAGGAGACCCTCCTCCAGAAGCTTCAGTGCAGGTGGAGTGTAGAGAGAGTGAGTTTAGAAAAGCTTTTGGGGCCCCCCTGCCAGCTCCTGGCTTTCCAGGCACACAGGCGCAGAGAGGTCCTTTGGGGAGCAGGCGATGAAATCGTAACAGCTGTCGCAGACACAGTGACAGGAACAGGACTTTGCACGCCGGACCACTGGCCGCCAGGTGCTGATCGCTGCCTTACCAACACCCCTTGGATGTTCTTAACCTTTCCACGGGCTGTGAATCCCTTTGACAGACCATTGAGAACCAGATCCCCTCCACCCTCCCAACCCCAGAAGGCAAGGCGCATACCTGCGACATTCATAGAATGGTTTTTCAAGGTCTCACCAAAGACCTGGAGCCTGTCCATGAACCCACTACCTCCCATCTATGAACCCAGGACCAAGGTTAAATGCCCCGAGGATATTTGTCTACTCTTCACAGAAGCCCCCAAGAGGTCAATATTATTCCTCCCTTTACAGATGTGTCCCCAGCTCTGGTTATCCCATGCCCTGGGTCATCCTGCAGAGCCAGGATGCAAATTCAGAGCTGTCCCAGGAACCAGGAGTTAAGCCACAGGGAGAGCAAGGATCTGCAGTGGAAAAGCCAGAGACCCTCTGCCCGCACACCGGGCACGTCCGGATTTGAATGCAGCAGTCACCGTGTAGGGTGTTGCATGAGCTCTTTGTGCCTTCATTTATTGGTAAGGGGAGGTGGTTGTGGGCTGTTTTTTTTTAGACAGCTTTATTGAGATAAAATAGACAGATAACATCGTGTAAGTTGAAGTGTGCTGATACAGCGTGCAGATTGAATACATTTATGTGTCGCAAAATTATCACCGCCATGCCCTCCTCATTCCTTTAAGCCATCTCTATCCCGTCACGTAGTTACTGTTTCTTTTGTGTGTGAGAGCATTTAAGATTTCCTTTCTTGCAACATTCAAGCCTATGTTAACAGTATCATTAGCTGTAATTACGCTGTACACTGTAGGTTTTTCATCTAAGAAGGGGACAAATGACGGCACCTATTCTCAGGGCTGTTGTAAGCGTTGAGCCTGTACGGAGAAAGACAGGCTATTGTAGAGACGGAAACAAAGTCCCAGGGGCCCAGTGCACGGGACAGTGGAGAAAATACAGACAGGGATGTGGACAGCTTTTGCTCTTAGTTTAAAGATCCATAAAGACACCGTTCCCATCCCAAATCAAATCTACGCCCCAGCTTCGGCCCCAGGAATCCTAAATTGGGGTGGGGTGTAAAAACAGACAAGCCTGCCCTGTCTCCCACTCCCCAAGCCCAAGGTATTTTTACTGGCTAATTGCTTAAGTGAAGCCGCCCTGGCGGAGAGTGCGCCGTAACCCGAGCA